CCACCATGCCCAGCTAATTTTTTGTATTTTTAGTAGAGACGGGGTTTCACCACGTTGACCAGGATGGTCTCGATCTCTTGACCTCGTGATCCACCCGCCTCGGCCTCCCAAAGTGCTGGGATTACAGGCTTGAGCCACCGCGCCCGGCCGTGTAGTCTGTTATTCTTAAGAATTAAAAGAAAATACTGCCATAATCAGAAGCTTTGTTTACTTGTGTTAGCTCCCCTGTAAACCTTTTACAATGTTTTTGTAATCATATTAAAGGTAGTTACAGAATTTTGACTTGAGTAAAATTAAACCATGAAAGCCGTTCTGTTGTTATTCTCAGTCTGCTTACTGTAACTGCCAATTTAGCATTTATGTCAGGAATTAAGCATGTTCCCAGCACAGAACTTAGTAATATGATGCTAGTCCCCAAAAACCTTACTTAGATAACTTTTTAGGATTGTGCCTAACCAAAAAGCATTTTCACTTTGCTGTTGGTTTTGTTTGGTTTGGATATTGCCTGCTCGTATAAAATAATACAGATGAAACCTCTTTCAGATTCGATTTAAACCTGTCAAAATTATAGCATATGAAGATGATGATGGTACTAACTTGTTGTCTTAGTTTAATAAGGCTACCACCATGAAGTCTCACAAACTGGGTGGCTTAAACAACAGAAATAGTTTGTCTCATCGTTCTGGAGGCTGGAAGTTCAAGATCAAGGTGTTGACAGGGTTTGCTCCTTCTGAGGGCTGTGACAAAGAATCTGTTCCATGCCTCTCCCTTAGCTCTTTGTGCTTTGTTGACAATCTTCACCATTTCTTTGCTTGCAAATGTATTGCCTTCTGCCTCCATCTTCACGTGGCATTCTCCTTAGTGTGCATGTTGTCCCCAAATTTCCCCTTTTAATAAAAACAGCAATCGTATTGGATTAGAGGTCCCCCTATTCTAGCATGACTTTACCTTAATTTTATCAATAACCCTATTTCCAAATAAGGTCACATTCTGAAGTACTGGGGGCTAGAACTTCAGCATAGGAATTTGGGGGGACACAATTCAGCCATAACACTTATAATCAAAGTTATGTTTTATATTAGTGGTTCTTCCATTTCCTCAACAAATCTTTACGGTCTGGGTACTAAGCACTATGCTAGGTACCGGAAATACAATAATAAATTAGATATGGTCCTTACTCTCAAGAAACTTCAGTTCATGGATTTGTGCCTCTTCATTTATAGTCTTTTCACTTCCAAGGAAATGAAATAAAAAGGGGACTATCAATGTTTAAGGACCATATGGCAGAATAGCTAAAAACAATAATAATAGCCAGTATTTGTTGAATACTATGCAAACATTATCATGTAAATTATCTCATTTAATCTTTAAAACAACACTGCAGGCCAGGGGCGGTGGCTCACATCTGTAATCCCAGAACTTTGGGAGGCTGAGGCAGATGGATCGCCTGAGGTCAGGAGTTCAAGACCAGTCTGGTCAACAAGGTGACTAAAAATGCAAAAATTAGCTGGGCATGGTGGCGCATGCCTGTAGTCCCAGCTACTCAAGAGGCTGAGGCAGAGAATCACTTGAACCCAGGAGGCGGAGGTTGCAGTGAGCTGACATTGCGCCACTGTACTCCAGCCTGGGCGACAGAGCGAGACTCCATCTCAAAAAACAAAACAAACCAAAAAAAACCCCACATACTTCAAATTAGAAACTAGTATTATCACCTCTACTTACAAATGAAGAAACTGAGGCTCTGAAAAGCCTAGCAAGTGGCAGAGTGAGGATTATTTATTATGCATTTATTTAGGTTTTTTGAGACCAAGTATCCTTCTGTCACACAGGCTGGAGTGCAATGGCATCATCTTGGCTCACTGCAACCTCTGTCTCCCAGGCTCAAGTGAGTCTCATGCCTCAGCCTCTCTAGGAGCTGGGATTATAGGCACGTGCCACCCCACCCGGCCAATTTTTGTATTTTGAGTAGAGACAGGGTTTCACTATGTTGGCCAGTCTGGTCTCAAACTCCTGAGCTCAAGTGATCCACGTGCCTTGGCCTCCCAACAGAGTGAGGATTTAAACCTAAGATGATCTGGCACCTGAGCTAGATTCCATTGCTATAGAATTCCTACATTATATGTCTTTTAATGGTGGGAAAAACTGAAAAAAAAAAAAAAAAAAAAAAAAAAAAAAAAAAAAAAGTCTTTCCTTTATTTTTAAATAGCTTATGTAACATAATACCTATGGTATAATTTCTTCTCTTTCTCTTTGTTACTTTCTTCTTCTTGTTTCATTTGAGATAGGATCTCAGGGTCTCACTTTATCACCTAGGCTGGAGTGCTGTGGCATGATCATAGCTCACTGCAGCCTTGACCTCCTGGGTTTTAAGAGATCCTTCTGCCTCAGCCCCCCAAGTAGCTGGGATTACAGGCATGTGCTACCACACCTGGATAATTTTTGTATTTTTGGTAGAGATGGGATTTTGCCATGTTGCCCAGGCTGGTTTCGCACTCCTGAGCTCAAGTGATCCACCCTTCTTGGCCTACTAAAATGCTGAGATTACAGGCATGAGCCACTGCGCCTGGCATGTTGCTTTTTTACTTGTCAACATTTATAAGTTCATTTCTTTCTTCCATTGACGTTTCTTCCTTAAAAAAAAAAAAACTCAGGGCAGGTGCAGTGTCTCATGCCTGTAATCCCAGTACTCTGGGAGGTAAGGCCGGCAGATCACTTGAGGTCAGGAATTTGAGACCAGCCTGGCCAACATGATGAAACCCTGTCTCTACTAAAAATACAAAAATTAGCTAGGCATGGTGGTGTGTACCTGTAATTCCAGCTACTCAGGAGGCTGAGGCAGGAGAATCCCTTGAGCCCTAGAGGCAGAGGTTGTAGTGACCCAAGATCATGCCACTGCACTCCAGCGAGTGAGACTCTGTCTCAAAAAACAAACAAACTTGGCAGAGCATGGTGGCTCATTCCTGTAATCCTAGCACTTTAGGAGGCCAAGGAGGGAGGATCCCCTGAGCCCAAGAGTTTGAGGCCAGTCTGGGCAACACAGTGAGTCCCTGTCCCTATTTAATTAAAAAAAAAAATAAAAAGAGAAAAGGAAAACTTTTCTTTTTTTTTATTTTTTTATTTTTATTTATTTATTTTTTTGGAGACGGAGTTTAGCTCTTGTTACCCAGGCTGGAGTGCAATGGCACCATCTCGGCTCACCGCAACCTCCGCCTCCTGGGTTCAAGCAATTCTCCTGCCTCAGCCTCCTGAGTAGCTGGGACTACAGGCACGCGCCACCATGCCCAGCTAATTTTTTGTAGTTTTAGTAGAGACGGGGTTTCACCATGTTGACCAGGATGGTCTCGATCTCTTGACCTCGTGATCCGCCCGCCTCGGCCTCCCAAAGTGCTGGGATTACAGGCTTGAGCCGGAAAACTTTTCTTATCTCATTTTTTCTTCCCCATTTCCTTAGAGGACTTCCCTTTCTATCCAGAAACTGAATTTCCTCCACAGAACATGCTGATAAGATAGAATTCTCTGCTGGGAAATTGAGCGGGAAGTGGCTTGCTATTCTGAGACAAAACCCAGCATCTCACTTTTAAAAGATAAACCTTTTGGGAAGTGAAAGGATGAGGTTAAATTCTTTCCAGAAAGGAAAACAATCCTATTTTCAGGCCATATCTATTGGCTCCACCACTACCACTGCTAATGCAAACCCAGCTTCTCAGCCCTGCTGCTAACACTGGTTTTACATTGACGTGGTGACAGTGGATAACAGTTTGCTGGATGATCAGAAGTATATTTTTCCCCAGAGTCTAAAGCAAAACATAACTTAGAATGGCACTGTTTTGAGGAAAAGTGAGATGTAATAACTGAGACCAGCGAACTATCAGAGCTAAGTATCCAATATTAGCCTCATAGTAAGTTAAACAGGTTCCCAGTCATACATTACAACCCCTCTTTAAAAAAGTTTTTTAAGCCGGGCGCGGTGGCTCAAGCCTGTAATCCCAGCACTGTGGGAGGCCGAGGCGGGTGGATCATGAGGTCAAGAGATCGAGACCATCCTGGTCAACACGGTGAAACCCCGTCTCTACTAAAATATACAAAAAATTAGCTGGGCATGGTGGCGCGTGCCTGTAATCCCAGCGACTCAGGAGGCTGAGGCAGGAGAATTGCCTGAACCCAGGAGGCGGAGGTTGCGGTGAGCCGAGATCGCGCCATTGCACTCCAGTCTGGGTAACAAGAGGGAAACTCCGTCTCAAAAAAAAAAAAAAAAAAAAAGTTTTTTAAATAGAGATGGAGTCTCACTATGTTGCCCAGGCTGGTCTCAAACTCCTGGTATCAAGCGATCCTCTCACTTCTGCCTCCCAAAGTGCTGAATTACAGGTGTGAGCCACTGTGCCTGGCCTCAGCTCTCTCTGATCAGTGACAAGATTCTGAGAGAGAAATGAATAGAGTTGATTATGTAGCAAATCATGAATAATTAGAGGAAGGGTTACTAGAGTAAGTATTTTCTTTTACATTTCTAAAGATTTTAATAGAACCCTTTTTACTATGAAGAAGGCACAGTTCAAAAATGATTTCCTTTTAGGGACAAGCCTTGCATTTCTAATCCTTAAAATGATGGCAAATGCCATAGTCATCATGACTTATCATAGAAATGTCTTTTAAAAGTTCAGATACAAATTTTAATTGCAGGCACAAATTACAAGAGAAAGAAAGTCAGTTTCAGAGATGTTGAATCATATTCGCTTCTAAAATATTTCCCTTGAAATTTTTATGGACATGACCTGTTTACTTAACATGTTAATGTTCCTATATTAGTTGTGCCTTGTAATCATTTATTTATTCAACAAGCATGTATTGAGTATCTATTTTATTCCAGGTACTGACCTAAGGGCCAAGATACAAAGTCAAGTGAGAGACAGAGTATATCTTAAAGGAACAGATTATTTAATGGGGAAGAGAGGTAAGTAAATAGGCAGTTTTTATGTAATGTCATGAGTAATATAATGCAAATATGCACAGGGAGCACAGAAGATAGTGCCTAAACCAGGGAGTGAGGTGAACATGGTTAGCAAAGTTGCAAGAAGGAAACATACAAAAAGGAATAATTATTATTAGAAGTGACTTACAGTTGGGCGCGGTGGCTCATGCCTGTAATCCCAGCACTTTGGGAGACGGAGGCAGGTGGATCACCTGAGGTCAGGAGTCGAGATCAGCCTGGCCAACATGGTGAAACCTCGTCTCTACTAAAAATACAAAAATTAGCTGGGTGTGGTGGCAGGCACCTGTAATCTCAGCTTTTCGGGAGGCTGAGGCAGGAGATTTGCTTGAACCTGGGAGGCGGAGGTTGCAGTGAGCTGAGATCGCACCACTGTACTCCAGTCTGAGGGACAGAGTGAGGATCCATCTCCAAAACAAGAAAAAAACAATGACTTACAGATTGCTAGATCTGGTAATATTTTATTTTGTTACTTTTCAAATGTTCCACGTGATAAATGTCTCTCTTTTGCAAACTCTAAAATAAACATCGTTTTGATGATGGAGAATTCAACCAAGTGTGACTGCCTTTGTCCTTTGTAGCTCAATTATTAAGAACAGATATCAAGAAAAAGGCATAACCAATGGAGAAAATTAATGAGTAGGTCTGGAATTTAGCTGCTGGAGTTAGAGAAAGAAATCTGCTATATATAGACTTGACCAGAAAACAGCAGAGATGATTTCTCCTCATCTCAAGAAGGCTTGATGAAAGACAGCTTTCAAATGAGTTCCTTGAGTGCGGAATCTCTATTCTTTTCATTTTTAAACTCATCATTCTAGGCTTGAAACTCACCCATGTCGTATGCCACCACAGACAGCTTTGAATATGTACAAGGGCATCCCTAATAATTGAACTTGGGAGGAGGAGGTGAGGGCACCATTTTCCTCTTTATCTGCAATTACTAGTTACTGAGAGAGTTGTTTAAAGAGCTTTCCATTCATTCAGACATTATTTATTGTTAAAAAAATATAATTTGGTATGTAAATTATATCTTAATAAAACTGTTTTTTAAAAGCCATTTATAGTATATTCCAGTGTCTTTTCCCCTAGGCCAGCATAGTTTGCCACATAAAGGTGTCTTGATTGAGTTGACTAAGTGGCCTGGTTGGGTCCCTCTGCAGTGTTGACCAGCTCCTCTGGCACATGTCCCAGAGTGACAATCCTTTCTCCTTTTAGATTATGACACTGGATGTGAACTCAAATCCCCTTAACTCAGAAAGTTACCGTTCAAACCTCCAGAAAAATGCTGGACAAAATCCTCATCAATAAAAAGATAATAACTGAGTGTGATACTTGGAAATGTTCCCAGCAACGTCCTTAACCTTGGAAAAAATTCCTAGTCTATAATGTTTTTTTCTTTTTTTTTTTCAAAGATGGGGTTTCATCATGATGGCCAGGCTGGTCTTGAACTCAGGTGATTCACCCACCTTGGCCTCCCAAAGTGCTAGGATTACAGGCGTGAGCCACGGCGCCCAGCTTATAATGTTTCTATTCACTTATCCATAGGAATAGAATTGAAGGGTAAGTCAGAACAAGCAAAACCCCTATTAGTGTGGAGGTCGCCTGGATACTTTTTTTCAGCGGAGAAGTTAGAAAACACCACCACAACATGAGGGGGAACATAGTCTTCTTTACAAAAAGTTTATCTCTAAAAGATTAAAAACAAAAAACAAAAACCCCAAAGCATAACATCATAACCTGGAGCAATCAGGTTGATCTAAATATATAAATATGATACAAATGTCCAAATGTGGAGCAGGCTTTTCTTGGTTTAAAAAATTGAGGTTCTGGCTGGGTGCAGTGGCCCAGGCCTGTAATCCCAGCACTTTGGGAGGCCGAGGTGGGTGGATCACCTGAGGTCAGGAGTTTGAGACCAGCCTGCCCAACATGGTGAAAGCCCATCTCTACTAAAAATACAGAAAATTAGCCAGGCATAGTGGCAGGCACCTGTAATCCCAGCTACTCAGGAGGCTGAAGCAGGAGAATCACTTGAATGTGGGAGGTTGCAGTGAACCAAGATTGCACCATTGCATTCCAGCCTAGGCAACAAGAGTGAAACTCTGTCTCAAAAAAAAAGAAAAAAAAAAATGAGGTTCTACTTCCATTAATGGGAGTATAGCATATATCAGACCAACTATTCCACAAGTGATACTTATAAACTCTGAACAAAATATTTTTAAAAAACCGGCCGGGCGCGGTGGCTCAAGCCTGTAATCCCAGCACTTTGGGAGGCCGAGGCGGGTGGATCACGAGGTCAAGAGATCGAGACCATCCTGGCCAACATGGTGAAACCCCGTCTCCACT